ATTATAAAGTATTTCAATTATTATAATGTATAATTTTTATAGTTTTAAAATATTAATTTATTAATAATACTATTTTAGGTCAACTCAAGTCAAGTCAAGTTTGAGTCAAGTTTAAATCAAATCAAGTTAAATATTTAATTCGACTCAAATTTGATTTGACTCACAAATCATCAAATCAAAAAAATATAAACTCAACTTGATTTAAACTCAACTCAGCTTATCTGACTTGTGAGTTAACTTGACTTATCCAAAACTCTAACAAAGACTACTGATAAAGTGAAGATAATGAATCTGGTAATAAGCAATACTTCATGATAAGAACAATCTAATATAATTAATTTGGATGATGACTGGTCAGAAAATTTGCATATTTAATCAAGCTATTCAAGCTTAATTTCCAGATTTAGTTCTTTTAGTTTACTACCTCAGAGTTGCAGCCAATGGGATTGTAATAGAAGTCAATTATCACCTTAGAGTCATAACCAATGGGATCATAATAGAAACCAGTTACCACTTTGGAGTTGTAGCAAACAGGATCGTGATAGAAGCCAGTCACTACTGGAGTTGTAGCCAACGGGATTGTGATAGAAGCCAGTTATCACTTCAGAGTCACAGCCAATGGGATCATAATAGAAGTCAGTCACTGCTTCAAAGTCGCAGCCAATGGGATTGTGATAAAAATCCTAGATATCTCTTTATCAATGACCTGCTTAATGACGTCTGAGAAGCTTTAAGAGTAAGTATTTTTTATTTATTCCTTTTCACTGCATACTAATAATATTCTTTTATATTTAATGTCAAATTTTTTGGATTGTCAAGAGATTGCCAACTCATAATCAATTGAAATTGAAACAGACATTTAATTCTTAATGAAATCTTGTTAACAGCAAAATAGTTCTGGCTGTTATGGAAGCTTTAGATTTGAATATGTTTCTAGTTTCAGAAAGTATCGTATATGACATGATTCACAAAAATCATAAGACTAAACGCAAAGAACATTTAAGAAAATAACAACCGTCGATTAAACAAGATGAACATGCCAGACGAAAGTATATAAATAGTCGAAGAAATAATGTAAATAAATTCTATCCTTTCCTTTTTAATTATTTAATATTTAATATTTTATTTTATTACAATACATTATGTTATAATATGTAGAAACGAATGAATAGAACCAATATTATTGATTATTTAGTAGAAATCAATGATCTATTGCTTAAATTATTTAAGGATCAAGAGATTTTACCGATCAAGAATAACTCTGCATACCACTCACCTGAAATTTTGAAAACTGATAAAGAGAATCCTTTTAATAAAAAAAAGATTATTAAAAAGGATTTGAGATGATGCTCAATTATTATAAGATTAATAACAATGATTATATGTTAGCCAAATACAAACTAATTTTTATTTTGTAATTGCAATCATTTTTATATGATTATATTGATCGTATATTTAACAAATTATCAAAAGTTCTAAAGTAATAAACTCGAATTGATGATGGCTGTTATTACGATAAAGAACAATTAAACCCATTCCAGATACTGAAAAAGATGATTAATGATTACAAAAGTTCCTTAAAATCAGCTGTATAAAATGTCTGTAGAGAATGATCATTAAGTACGCTTATTGAACAGACTCAATGACCAAATATGTAAAGATAATAACCACCTTAACAACTGACAGTAAAATTCAGAGAAAATGCGAAAAAACCAGTAGCGAGGTCTAGTATTAGAGAAGAAATGCAAATCATCAAATAGGATAACGAAAGAGACACTATTGCAGTTTAATAGCATTAGTAGTGTATAAAATTAAGACTAAAAATCATGTGCACAAGTTGTACTAAAAATAGAAAATTAATGCATGTATTACATAGTATTTCTATTTTTTATAATAATTCATAACAGTTTGTAAAAAACTCTTTCTCCCTTTTTGCAAAAATACCCAAAAAAACAGAAAGAAAGAATACCAACCGCGGCCGCTCGGCTTCACCAATATCAGACAAAATACCAAAAAAGAAACAAAATACACTGCAAACCGCAGACAACGACCTCGCTCTTACTTATGTAAAAGAACCTCTTGTAACCATCCTTCCAGAAGAGACCAACACCATGGAAGTCGACCCAGTCGAAGAAAGTTCTTCTAACAACCTCGACAAAGGGAAAAGCCCTGAAACTACCGTCTCAACTTCAACAACATCTAATGTTACTGCACCCAAACCAACGACTAGTGTAGACGAGTCTTTTGACGCGTCAGAAAATACTTTAGATACTACAACTATAGGTTTTGAGGCTCCTTCAACCCAAGTATCTAAATTTTTCGCCTACATCCCAATGGATAAACTCTGAGGCCCAAACCCCCAAATGAAGATCTCGATGATCACTGACTTGTGTTATGATAAATATGATACATTTATTATTGCCATAAAAGGAAGACATCCAACTGAACAAAACCAGGCTATCATCAAAGTTGCCTTTTTAGACAAAAATGAACGTGATGCATTTTGTTTGCATAAAACTCCTGAAATGGATGACACCACGTTCTAACCCCTCGATATTAAAAAATCTGCACCATATGTACCTGTCCTGTCGATAATGGTCACAAAAATACCACTAGATGCTATAGAAACAAGATTAAGAAAATTATTTTCTAAATTTGGAAATATCGTTCACTTCACCATAGAAACCAGGAATCTTTGGCAACGAGCCACCATCACTTTCGACGAAAAGGCAAATTTTGAACAACTAAAAAAGGGAGACGGGATCTATCTCTTAAATGACATGATCCGCTATCATCCTTGTAGCCTTTCCAGAAATGAAATTCAAGCCTGCTCTGCCTTTTCAGCAAAACTTACGAACCTCACTCGGAATATCACACCACGTGACCTCCATGATATTGGCAACATGGTTGCGGCTTCTGCATAGATCATCCCCAGAGCTCACTCCAATTACAACTATTTGCAACATGCATTCTTCTATTTCACTAACAAAGAAGATGTTCAAGCGGCTATGGACATAAAAAATCTTACCTTAAACAACAAAAATTTGGAATGGACCGATCCGAAAGCTAAATTATGTGCAATTTGTTCATCAGCACATCATAACGCTTCTACTTGCATAAGACGTCATCAGTCCCCCAAGGATCGTAATATGCAAAATCTCTACCAGAGATTCCAACCCGCCCAGTTTAATAATTATACAGCACCGAAAAGGAATCCAATACGGGGAGCCGTCCGTGACAATATCACATTTGCCTACGTGACCAAAACTCCACAACAGATCGTTAATCCCCAAGAAGGACCGAAAAGGAGACCTCCTCCACCCCCACCACCTAAAAATAAGATTAATAATAATAATAACAATATATCCTCCCATAACCCGCCTAACGATAAACCTAAATTACATTGGGCTGATGAACCATTTGACGAGTTTATGGAAACTGAAGTCCTACCTACACCGAAGCTAAACAACAGCACAGCAACAGGAGGTTCGATTCACGACCCGGACTTCAAACAATTTGTTACATCCAGACTCACTTCGATTTCCAACGCTATTTCCGACCTCTGCGTCAAATTTAAATTTTCACAACAACGTCTTACTGTAGTAGAAAAGGCCCTTGATATTAAAGTTGTCACTCCTGCTGAGGCGGATGACTTTAATAATAACTTACCTGACTCAGCAACGGAAGCTGATAAGAAATCCCCACACATCAACACCGATCTCTGCACTGCTCATTTACAAAAACAAACAAACGAACAGCTCATTCTAATCTGTCAAAAACAATAACAACGAATTTCGCAATTCACTCCTATACTCAATCAATTACTCCAATCCTGTCATGACCTCCAAACTACACTCCTGAACAAAAATATCCTCAACAAACACAATACTCAAATCTTTGAACCCTTAAATGATGTTTTTGACAAAGCCATTGAACGCTGCATTAACAGCTTCCCAAATTAACTTATAATTATATTATGAATACTGTCCCTACAAATAATAATAATAACACCCCTTGTTTAAATACTTCATTCATACCGAATCTTAAAATTGCCACCCATAACATTCATTCCTTTAATGACCAAACAAAACAAAATTATCTATTCTCCTTATATTCAATACATCAATTCGACATCATAGGCCTACAAGAAACGAATTTCAAAGGAATCTCATCCATTTTTAATCGAGATTTCCCACACTACACTACATTTTTTAGTAATAATCAGAATTCCCGTTCAATTGGAACAGGCGTCAGTCTTTCTTTCAGCCCTGCCATTGCCAAACATATTTTTGCCCATGATTCTTTGTTAGATAGAATTATTTATGCAAAACTTCAATTTGTCAACAAACAAAAACTGATGATAATTAACTGTTACATTCTACCTGCTAATCCCCTAACTGATACTACCAAACAATCTGTCATCCTTTTAAAACGTTTATTAGATGACACATTGAAAAACAACATGCATATTATTCTCATCGGAGATTTAAATGCTGATATAGACCGCAAACATAACTCTTCCTTTAATATGAATTTTATTAATTCGCTTATTAATTACAATCTATATGACATTCGACGTCCAATATAAAGAAAATCGTAAACTATACCCATCCTGCTTCAAAAAAAATTCTTCGTCAAGAATAGATTATATTTATACAACTTCCGAATTAGCGCTTAACTTACTTGATTGTAAAACTGTACAAATAGATTCATCCATTTCTGACCATCACATAATTTCAACAAAATTTATTAATTTTCTTAAACATTCGACATTTACAAGGAAAAGTCCAACCAAATCTTCCTTCAATTATAATCTCATGGACGACTCTAAATAGTCCAAGTTTAAAAACAACCTGGATAAGAATTTGTATTCCAATTCATTGAAACACATATCATCCAACACTATTTGGTCTCAAAGTCTCCTTAATTCTTCTTGGGACCTTTTTCAAGACACTCTTATTTCTGTAGCAAAAAAATGCATCCCAATACATAAGGCAAAGAATTATCACTCTTCAAAAAAACCAATTGCCCTGTTAAAGCTATACAACGACATTAAATTACTCCATTGTTTTGACAAAATTACAAAAAAATGTCTGAAAGACCTATCTGTTCATGAAAAGTGGATTAATCTATACCCCAAATTTTTGCAACTTGCGCATGATAACAGTTTACACATCATTTCCCTGAACTGCCCTCCGCATGTAATAATGCTTAACACAATTTTACCAGATATCAAACTTCTCTTAGCAGGTCTCAAAATTAAAGCTGAACTACGTGAACATAAATTTAAACTCACGAGCATCCAAGAAGCCTTAGACGCCCGAATAGATGATTATAAACACAACCTGTCTCAGATGATAGACTCAGTTCTCAATCGTAAAAAAACAACTATATTATTAGACAGATGTATCGATAATTCGTCTTCACTACAGAATTTGCTGTTCGAGGAACCAGATGTTAAAAAAGAAGTCACCAGGCACTTTCAACAGGTCGCAGGCACCACACATCGTACCAAAGAAATCCCAGAAGATTGGATTCCCACATACACTCCTCTTGATTCAATAGATTCTCACATTTATGATAACTTAATGGCTTTACCCTCAGCAGACGAATGGTACAGAATCATTGATCGACTTTCTAACGATAAAGCTCCAGGACCCTCTAAATTTCTAATGAAATGCTGAAACACTTAGGCCCTTTGGCAAAGAAATGTCTTTGGTATAT